GGCCTGTTAAAGGGGATGTTTGACTATAACTAGGCCTGTTAAAGGGGATGTTTGACTAGGCCTGTTAAAGGGGATGTCTGACTAATACTAGGCTTGTTAAAGGGGATGTCTGACTATAACTAGGCCTGTTAAAGGGGATGTCTGACTATTACTAGACCTGTTAAAGGGGATGTTTGACTTATACTAGGCCTGTTAAAGGGGATGTCTGACTATAACTAGGCCTGTTAAAGGGGATGTCTGACTATTACTAGACCTGTTAAAGGGGATGTTTGACTTATACTAGGCCTGTTAAAGGGGATGTATGACTATAACTAGACCTGTTAAAGGGGATGTCTGACAGATTAGAGTCTCACAATCCAGTGCTTTCTGTAGAAAACATATAATAGAAAAGGCCCAATGATTGATCCAGACTCTCGGCAATCACCGCTCTCATCTGTGAATCTCAGCGAGTCGTAATAACACCGTGTTCGCAATAAATCACACGTGAATTCTCGCCGCCGCATCTTCCCCGCGCTCACATCTCGTCTCGTTATTCATTGTTTATTGAATTCTCGGATGACGTTACGCTGCCGCTGCGTTCTGGCTTTCAAAGTGTGTAAACAGAAAATTGCTTGACCCTGAGGAACTTCTATTGTGTGGAGATTAAACGCATTTTCATTCCACTCACAAACTCACAACTGGAGCTGGAGAGATGACATGCAATGCACTGTGGGTAATTAATCATTTCCTGAGGTCCCATTATTGCGGCGCTCCTGCTCTGACTCACACTGGACCCTGCTCAAAAACATCTTGACATTTTTGTAATTACACCTGTTCTGTCCCGTGCTTCCGCTCAGCAGCTGTTTACGAACGGACAAGGTCACATTGTCTCAGGACGAGCGTAATTGGACCGTACTTTCACTTTTGCTTAATTTGCTGAAAAGATCAATGTTTTTGATCTTGTTCTTTGTATTAACAGGCGTCTATGTTAAAGGAGCAGTGTGTAAACATGTGGCCAAAAGTGGTACTGCAGCCTCTCCCACTCTCCCTGACTCAGGTTGCCAGATATGCAGACGAATCCAAGACAAGAGTTTTGTCAACAACAAATCTATAACCAACACCTTTTTCACAAAGATAGAAATCCTGGTTTTATTCCTTGTTTTGTCGTTAATGATTTGAGAATCATAACGAGACCTTTTTTTAGTTCTGTGCCACATGGTACTTTACCAGTGAGATTAGCTCCACATGGTACTTTACCAGTGAGATTAGCTCCACGCGGTGAGTTCTGGCGCCCGGATCACAGACTTTTTGATTGGTGAAACAGCGGAGGGCGGGACATCAAAATGAAGTATTGGAAAAGAGAAACTTAGTATTATGACAGATTAGGGCCCTTTAATGATGACAGATTAGGGCCCTTTAATGATGACTGATTAGGGCCCTTTAGTGATGACAGATTAGGGCCCTTTAGTGATGACAGATTAGGGCCCTTTAATGATGACAGACTAGGGCCCTTTAATGATGACAGATTAGGGCCCTTTAATGAGGTCTAGGCCCCGGGGGATCTCATAATCTCTTTCCCCTTCTGCCTCATCACAGGTCTCTGCTGGGGTCAAAGGCCAAATCCTAACCACAGTCTCTACAGCACCATAAATGTAATGTTGAAAATATATCATGTATGTGTCATTTATGTAGTGTCTGATTACTGCCAAACTGGCAGTAAAACTTATTTTGGTTATTATTATTTTATTATTTACTGTCAAACTTATTTTGGTTGAGGACCAAATAAAAAATTAAAGGGCTGCGATGGGCTGAAAGAATAAGTGGGTTTTTTATAATATGAAGGTTTCTACTGTATATAAATGACTTGTTTCACATTAGTTGGATTGGACATTCTTTTCTGATTAGAATTAGTTCAGTTCCTGTGGACTGAACCAAAACTGGACCAAATATGGAAGATTTTCTACTTTTGGGTGGATCATCAAAACTATTGGTCCTCCCAACTGTCAATCATTCTGGTGATTCGTGCTCGTCCAATAAGACCAGAGAGTTTGGTTCAAAAAGTGGAGAGGGCGGTTCTATCCTAAGAAAATTGGTTAAACCTCCTTTATATCTTTAAAAATGTAATTGAAGACTCGTAAACATAATAAACATACAAAATAATAATACTAACTAATACTAATTACATGTCGGCTTAACATTTCTTATGGAATAAAGTTTTATGGCTGTTTTCTTAGTCATGGGTAACACGCCATTGTCGCCTTATACCATCAATGCTGCCATCTAATATAATAATTCAAATTCATCTCAAGGGCTTGACTTTGACGCCTCTGCACTGCACTAATCTGATAACACCCATGTTTTGTGTGTTCCAGTCCCTGCAGATTGAAACGCCCTCCTGACTGGGCGTACTCCAGCCGTCCTCGCTCAGACATATTGACGTTTGAACAGAAAAGTTGAGGCAGCTTTAATCTTCTGCACTTGTCAGTTTCTCCTCATGTCCTCACTGATCTGCAGCTCTCTTTGCTCTTCTGTACTTGGCAGCTTTAACCTTTTCTTTTGAACCTTACATTGACTCAAGGCCGCCTCCCTCCACTCTCACTCTCTTACATCTACGATATTATAGTGACAGATATTTTGCACTCAGCAGACATGACATACTACTTATGCCATTGATTTTATGCCCTTTTAAAGTCTGAACGGGGCGCCAGGTAAGCGGGGAGAGAGGAGCACATGTGGGGCGAGCTGAGCTGAGAAAAAATGAATATTGTAGAGATACTATTGATTTTGATTCACGTTTTATTCAAGATTTGAGTAACTTTTGATAAAGCCTGGTCTTACCATGTGTAAACTCTGGTCCATGATCATTTCCTACATGTACGTCTGGTTTTACCATGTGTAAACTCTGGTCCATGATCATTTCCTACATGTACGTCTGGTCTTACCATGTGTAAACTCTGGTCCATGATCATTTACTACATGTACGTCTGGTCTTACCATGTGTAAACTCTGGTCCATGATCATTTCCTACATGTACGTCTGGTCTTACCATGTGTAAACTCTGGTCCATGATCATCTCCTACATGTACGTCTGGTCTTACCATGTGTAAACTCTGGTCCATGGTCATTTCCTACATGTACGTCTGGTCTTACCATGTGTAAACTCTGGTCCATGATCATTTCCTACATGTACGTCTGGGTCTGATCCTATTGGCTGCAGTTTCCTCGGTTGAATCCCCTCCGACCAATCAGAGAGCGGGGGAGGCGGGTGTTGTAGGTCGGTGTCGGTGACGTCAAGAGTTTGTGCTGAATTTACTGGTTGTAGTTTGTCGGAGAATGTGATAGTAAAATAATCTGTTCTGGTTCAATCCAAATATCAAGAAACTGAAGCCGGAGCAAGAGGAATGTTTAGTAAATGTTATTGAAGCAAAGATGTTGTGGCTCTACTCCCCACGGGCTCCGTTAGCGGCAAAGGAGATGGCTAAAGCTAGGCTACATGCTAAAGCTAGGCTAAATGCTAACGACTCACTCTGGCTCATTACATACGTCTCAGTAAACTCAGATCCAATCGTTTCAATCTGCAAAAGGAGTTAACGCCTCCCACCTGTTAACGGAGCACTGGCCGAAGGTTGTGGGTTCAAGTCCACCACAAGACTTTCTCCACGACTCTCACTGATATCTGCTGTTGTTGTGTCCTTGGGCAAGACACTTAACCTCTGGGTTGCCACAGTGGGGCGGCTGTAAAGTGCCAAACTGTGGTTGTGTCCTTTGGCAAGACACTTCCCCGACATTAGAATGAGTCTGGTGTGTGTGTGAATGGTTGGTGGTGGTGGGAGGGGCTGATGGCACAGACTGGTTGCCTCGCTTCTGTCAGTGCGCCCCAGGGCAGCTGTGGCTACAGTAGTATTTTGGTAGTAGTGAGTGAATAAAAACATGTGAAGCGTCTTTGGGAGTCCCGAAAAGCCCAAATGCATTTTCATGATTATTATTATTATTATTATTAAAGGGACCTACCCAGACTTCCTGATGCCTTTGAGTAGACTTGGAGTGACTGATAGAAAACATGTCTCGTCTGACTGTGATTTGGATCTGCTGCTGCTGTTCAGTGTTGTTGCATATTTCCTAAAGTCTCACTGCTATCTCGATCCCGGGTGTTTGCAAAGTACACAATCCACATCCTCTGCATCTCACCAATCAGGGCTCTTACCTTCGCAGAACCTCCCCAGAGCCCTTTTCTGACACATTAACAAACTACCTTCAAACGGCCGGCTCCCCTGAGCAGGGCCTTGTGCTGCTGAAATGAGCTCAAGGAGAAACACAGAAGATGGAAAAGGATTGGAGACGATATCAGGGAGAGGAGATCAGTGATGTCACGATGCATTATAAACTTGATTTCAATTCAATTTATTCTTGTATCGCTTTAAATCACAACAGTTTTCTGAGACTGAGGGTGTGGACCCAGGACTGAAGTAAATGAAAACAATAACAAGATTTAGAGGCTGGAAAAGTAATTTAGAAATTCAAATATCTCTGAACTACTGTTATCAGTTAAAGTATTGGAAAAGAGCAGTTAATTATTATGATAGACTAGGGCCCTTTAATGATGACAGATTAGGGCCTTTTAATGATGACAGATTAGGGCCTTTTAATGATGACAGATTAGGGCCTTTTAATGATCACAGATTAGGGCCCTTTAATGATGACAGATTAGGGCCCTTTAATGATGACAGATTAGGGCCCTTTAATGAGGACAGATTAGGGCCCTTTGATGATGACCAGATTAGGGCCCTTTGATGATGACTGGACATGGAGATCGTACATATATCCTCTTTAAAGGACCTCTTTATGCTAATTCCAAATGCCCGTTGTACTTTGTTGAATACACACCCAATTACCGGACTAATAGTGAGTACGCAACAGTCGCACACAAACGCAACAGTCGCACACAAACGGAACAGTCGCACACAAACATAAATCACACATATTTAACCCTGACTGGCTCTTCATTGCGTATTCAAACTGAGTCATTGGGATGGATGTGGTGTCGGTGAAGCGGTGGTGTCGGTGAAGATGTGGTGTCGGTGAAGATGTGGTGTCGGTGAAGATGTGGTGTCGGTGAAGAGGTGGTGTCGGTGAAGATGTGGTGTCGGTGAAGAGGTGGTGTCGGTGAAGCGGTGGTGTCGGTGAAGCGGTGGTGTCGGTGAAGCGGTGGTGTCGGTGAAGAGGTGGTGTCGGTGAAGATGTGGTGTCGGTGAAGAGGTGGTGTCGGTGAAGCGGTGGTGTCGGTGAAGCGGTGGTGTCGGTGAAGCGGTGGTGTCGGTGAAGCGGTGGTGTCGGTGAAGAGGTGGTGTCGGTGAAGCGGTGGTGTCGGTGAAGATGTGGTGTCGGTGAAGATGTGGTGTCGGTGAAGATGTGGTGTCGGTGAAGAGGTGGTGTCGGTGAAGATGTGGTGTCGGTGAAGAGGTGGTGTCGGTGAAGCGGTGGTGTCGGTGAAGCGGTGGTGTCGGTGAAGCGGTGGTGTCGGTGAAGAGGTGGTGTCGGTGAAGATGTGGTGTCGGTGAAGAGGTGGTGTCGGTGAAGCGGTGGTGTCGGTGAAGCGGTGGTGTCGGTGAAGCGGTGGTGTCGGTGAAGAGGTGGTGTCGGTGAAGCGGTGGTGTCGGTGAAGAGGTGGTGTCGGTGAAGCGGTGGTGTCGGTGAAGAGGTGGTGTCCGTGAAGATGTGGTGTCGGTGAAGATGTGGTGTCGGTGAAGAGGTGGTGTCGGTGAAGATGTGGTGCCGGTGAAGAGGTGGTGTCGGTGAAGCGGTGGTGTCGGTGAAGCGGTGGTGTCGGTGAAGCGGTGGTGTCGGTGAAGCGGTGGTGTCGGTGAAGAGGTGGTGTCGGTGAAGCGGTGGTGTCGGTGAAGAGGTGGTGTCGGTGAAGCGGTGGTGTCGGTGAAGAGGTGGTGTCGGTGAAGCGGTGGTGTCGGTGAAGCGGTGGTGTCGGTGAAGCGGTGGTGTCGGTGAAGCGGTGGTGTCGGTGAAGATGTGGTGTCGGTGAAGATGTGGTGTCGGTGAAGATGTGGTGTCGGTGAAGATGTGGTATCGGTGAAGAGGTGGTGTCGGTGAAGATGTGGTGTCGGTGAAGAGGTGGTGTCGGTGAAGCGGTGGTGTCGGTGAAGCGGTGGTGTCGGTGAAGCGGTGGTGTCGGTGAAGCGGTGGTGTCGGTGAAGAGGTGGTGTCGGTGAAGCGGTGGTGTCGGTGAAGCGGTGGTGTCGGTGAAGCGGTGGTGTCGGTGAAGCGGTGGTGTCGGTGAAGCGGTGGTGTCGGTGAAGAGGTGGTGTCGGTGAAGCGGTGGTGTCGGTGAAGCGGTGGTGTCGGTGAAGAGGCGGTGTCGGTGAAGCGGTGGTGTCGGTGAAGAGGTGGTGTCGGTGAAGCGGTGGTGTCGGTGAAGAGGTGGTGTCGGTGAAGCGGTGGTGTCGGTGAAGCGGTGGTGTTGGTGAAGCGGTGGTGTCGGTGAAGCGGTGGTGTCGGTGAAGCGGTGGTGTCGGTGAAGCGGTGGTGTCGGTGAAGAGGTGGTGTCGGTGAAGCGGTGGTGTCGGTGAAGAGGTGGTGTCGGTGAAGCGGTGGTGTCGGTGAAGCGGTGGTGTCGGTGAAGCGGTGGTGTCGGTGAAGCGGTGGTGTCGGTGAAGCGGTGGTGTCGGTGAAGCGGTGGTGTCGGTGAAGAGGTGGTGTCGGTGAAGAGGTGGTGTCGGTGAAGCGGTGGTGTCGGTGAAGCGGTGGTGTCGGTGAAGCGGTGGTGTCGGTGAAGAGGTGGTGTCGGTGAAGCGGTGGTGTCGGTGAAGAGGTGGTGTCGGTGAAGCGGTGGTGTCGGTGAAGCGGTGGTGTCGGTGAAGCGGTGGTGTCGGTGAAGAGGTGGTGTCGGTGAAGCGGTGGTGTCGGTGAAGAGGTGGTGTCGGTGAAGAGGTGGTGTCGGTGAAGAGGTGGTGTCGGTGAAGAGGTGGTGTCGGTGAAGATGTGGTGTCGGTGAAGATGTGGTGTCGGTGAAGCGGCGGTGTCGGTGAAGAGGCGGTGTCGGTGAAGATGTGGTGTCGGTGAAGCGGTGGTGTCGGTGAAGCGGTGGTGTCGGTGAAGAGGTGGTGTCGGTGAAGAGGTGGTGTTGGTGAAGCGGTGGTGTCGGTGAAGCGGTGGTGTCGGTGAAGAGGTGGTGTCGGTGAAGCGGTGGTGTCGGTGAAGAGGTGGTGTCGGTGAAGCGGTGGTGTCGGTGAAGGGGTGGTGTCGGTGAAGCGGTGGTGTCGATGAAACGGTGGTGTCGGTGAAGCGGTGGTGTCGGTGAAGCGGTGGTGTCGGTGAAGCGGTGGTGTCGGTGAAGAGGTGGTGTCGGTGAAGCGGTGGTGTCGGTGAAACGGTGGTGTCGGTGAAGAGGTGGTGTCGGTGAAGCGGTGGGACACACAGCCTATCATTGCCTCTGGTGTTGCCTCCTCAGCTCTGTCTCATTACTGAAACAGATTTGTTTGGGCAGCTCCAGGTTGACAGCAGCTGCAGCGCTACATCTGAACTATTCTGGGGAAAAAAAATCATAAAAACAACGCCGGGGACTTGCGTAGGCTTGATTTGTATCAGCGCTAATTGGTATTTGAAGAAAGGCAGAGTTAATAGCTGGAGAAAACAAGGCGTTCAGAGATGTATTAGCTTGCTCGACAAAATAAGTTGCGTCTAAATCTTTTTATTCCCTTGTTCTACGATTCATTAAGCTAATTGAAAGAGCTTTTTTTTTTGCACAAAGAAACAACTGAAATCAAGCCACAAGTAACATGAGAGCGCTCTTCAGGCAATAAAGGGAGTGAGAACAAATGGCTACGCTTTTTTTCATCGGGATTTTGGAGGCAATTAGTAATTCATATGGAAATGGGATAAGTGCAGAGGTTTTGTTGTGCATTGTTTGTTGTGGAAAACATTGTAGAGGCCAAAGTTATTAACACATTAACTTAAAGATGCAGGCAGTGATTTTTCCAGACACATTATTTTAAATATTGTGGAAAATGTCCCTAAACCCTAAAAGTATCAAGTATCATGTGTCTTCAAATAGTAATGAAATTGACCAGATGTCTATAGTCTACAAAAATAAGTTAAACATATTTTGGAGCGGACAGATAAAAATGAACCAATGGGATTCGTTCATCTCCAACACACCAATGGGATGTGTTTACCGCCTTCAGCCTCTTCCTGTTTCTCTGAGTGCACCGGAGGTATCGGATTTTCTAAAACCTAAAATGGCTGAACAGAAAATGCCAATTTCACGTTTGCTTCACTCTCCCTGTGACAAAGGAAAGAAAATGCTGGATGTTTGGTTTGGTGGAGAGGGAGGGGAGGGGGGAGTGGTTTCCAGTTGGTGCTACGGCTAAGCTAACAACATCACTTACTGCTCCTTTAAGGTCGCGTTTCTTTCAGAGGTTTACTTAAAGAAGACATTTACCGTATTCCAACGTTGTGCCTAAAAACAGACGCTAAAATCAGGAACTTCTGGCGTAAAGATTTGACTAAAAACCTCCGGTGTCCGTCCGGTAACATCCCACTTTGAAACAAAACTATTACAAAAACACAAACTTTTAAATGTGAAATAAAATCCAGATCCAGGCAATATATAGTTTGATAATCTTTAATGACCAGAACTTATGCACAATATTTCTTTATTAGATCTCTGTTCTCAAAACTGACCAATCACAGAGGTTAAAAAACACCTGCAACATTGTATTTTGAGCTGACTTTTCTGTTATGTACGTAGCAAGTAAGTGAGAAATAATTAGTACAAATTAATCACAAGAAACGTAGGTACAAAATATAACAAAAAGTAAATTATGCAAACATTCTGTACCTTTGTAAATTTTCAGTCATTTACACCATAATTTCGGGTATTTTTCTTTGACTTTTAATCATCAGCGGTGGTTTTCTGACCCGAGGGTAAAACAAGGTAATGAGAGGTTTTCTACTGGAACCTTTCCACAAACACATACTTAACAAAAATATTCTTTAAATAAATGTTTGTATCATATTTTATTCTATCTGTTTTCTTGCATACATATTTGTTCATGTTTTTAAGCAAACACTAGTTTTGGAGCAAGACCTTTTTCTGTATCACAAAAAAGGATAAATTATTTAAGAATTCTAAACTGTCCAAACGTCCTGCAGTAAAATTAGACCAAAACACTGTCTTTGTCTGCAGCTGCTCTCGTGAGGCAAAGGGCTGGATTTGATCATTGAACTGGCAACCCAAATAAGATCATACAAAGCTCATTCTGCTTTTGGATTTGAATCTCAACCTCTAAAATTATGTATGTGTTGTTTTTGTAATTAAGACTAAATACAATAAAATACATATAATAAAATGTGGTTCCTTCTCCCTACAGAAATATAAGTTTATATTATTTTAAAACAGCCATTTTTGTTAATCTACCTCTTCCACAAACTCAAACCAAATGGGACTCAAGCAAAACTCTTGTGGGCCTCAAACCCTCAGAGGAGAGGGTTTCTACTGCCCTTGGTCTGTGAGAGGAGAGACCCAGGGAGAAACTCTGCACTGAACATCATCGCCTTTGGGCCTGAAGGTCATGGGTTCGAGCCCACCACAAAACTTTATCCACCGACTCCCACTGATGTCTGCTGCGGTTGTGTCCTTGGGCAAGACACTAAACCTCTGGGAACAGCAGGTGCCACAGTGGGGCGGCTGCGGCTTGGGCAAGACACTTCCCCCACATTAGAATGAGTCTGGTGTGTGTGTGAGTGGTTGGTGGTGGTGGGAGGGGCCGATGGCACAGACTGGTTGCCTCGCTTCTGTCAGTGTGCCCCGGGGCAGCTGTGGCTACAGTAGTTTATCAGCACCGTGTTTGGAGAGAGAGATTAATGATTTGAGACTTAAAGAATCCAGAAAAGCGGCATTATCATTATATTATTATCATTTATCCGATTAATCCCAACATTGTGACTTTGAATTCTAACCTTTATGAAACAAATGATGACGGCAAGATTTTGTTTTGAGATTCTATCACATACAAATACATTCTGAAGACTTGACAACTTTTCAGTCCCAAACACTGAGTCCTTGGAGAAAAAAAACAGTATAAAAAATAAGTAAATAAGTAAATGAATGCTACATCTTCCTGCGTTTCCGGGGCCTCTGGTTAAAGACTGGAGAGGGCCCCATCAGAGAGTCCGGGGACTGAGATCCATAACTGGCTTCAGAGGCGGCGCCCCCGGGAGACGCAGCCATGGCCCCCGCAGACTCGCTCATGGTGGACATTGGCCCCCCCTCCTCAAACACATCTCCCCCCAGGACGCTGTGGTGATGGCTGGATCCTTGGCCGTCATCTCCGTCGTGTGGTTCGATCTTTACCTGCGGCCACAGCGGCGAGTTGTTGGCCCCGCCTCCTCCTGGTTTTAACAATGAATAGATAAAATCACAGGTATTTTTAATCTTGATTGACCAGAGAGACCAGAGAGAGAGACCAGAGAGAGAGACCAGAGAGACCAGAGAGAGACCAGAGAGAGACCAGAGAGAGACCAGAGAGAGACCAGAGAGAGACCAGAGAGAGACCAGAGAGAGAGAGACCAGAGAGAGACCAGAGAGAGACCAGAGAGAGAGACCAGAGAGAGACCAGAGAGAGACCAGAGAGAGAGACCAGAGAGAGACCAGAGAGACCAGAGAGAGAGACCAGAGAGAGACCAGAGAGACCAGAGAGAGACCAGAGAGAGACCAGAGAGAGACCAGAGAGAGACCAGAGAGAGACCAGAGAGAGACCAGAGAGAGACCAGAGAGAGACCAGAGAGAGAGAGACCAGAGAGAGACCAGAGAGAGAGACCAGAGAGAGACCAGAGAGAGACCAGAGAGAGAGACCAGAGAGAGACCAGAGAGAGACCAGAGAGACCAGAGAGAGAGAGACCAGAGAGAGACCAGAGAGAGACCAGAGAGAGACCAGAGAGAGAGACCAGAGAGAGACCAGAGAGAGACCAGAGAGAGAGACCAGAGAGACCAGAGAGAGACCAGAGAGAGAGACCAGAGAGACCAGAGAGAGACCAGAGAGAGACCAGAGAGAGACCAGAAAGACCAGAGAGAGAGAGACCAGAGAGAGACCAGAGAGAGACCAGAGAGAGAGACCAGAGGGAGACCAGAGAGAGACCAGAGAGAGACCAGAGAGAGAGACCAGAGAGACCAGAGAGAGACCAGAGAGAGAGACCAGAGAGACCAGAGAGAGACCAGAGAGAGACCAGAGAGAGACCAGAGAGAGAGACCAGAGAGAGACCAGAGAGAGAGACCAGAGAGAGACCAGAGAGAGAGACCAGAGAGAGACCAGAGAGAGAGACCAGAGAGAGACCAGAGAGAGACCAAAGAGAGACCAGAGAGAGACCAGAGAGAGAGACCAGAGAGAGAGACCAGAGAGAGACCAGAGAGAGAGACCAGAGAGACCAGAGAGAGAGACCAGAGAGACCAGAGAGAGACCAGAGAGAGAGAGACCAGAGAGAGACCAGAGAGAGACCAGAGAGAGAGACCAGAGAGAGACCAGAGAGAGACCAGAGAGACCAGAGAGAGAGAGACCAGAGAGAGACCAGAGAAAGACCAGAGAGAGAGACCAGAGAGAGACCAGAGAGAGACCAGAGAGAGACCAGAGAGACCAGAGAGAGACCAGAGAGACCAGAGAGACCAGAGAGAGACCAGAGAGAGACCAGAGAGAGAGACCAGAGAGAGACCAGAGAGAGACCAGAGAGAGACCAGAGAGAGACCAGAGAGAGAGACCAGAGAGAGACCAGAGAGAGAGACCAGAGAGAGACCAGAGAGAGACCAAAGAGAGACCAGAGAGAGACCAGAGAGAGAGACCAGAGAGAGAGAGAGACCAGAGAGAGAGACCAGAGAGAGAGACCAGAGAGAGAGACCAGAGAGAGACCAAAGAGAGACCAGAGAGAGACCAGAGAGAGAGACCAGAGAGAGAGAGAGACCAGAGAGAGACCAGAGAGAGACCAAAGCGAGAGACCAGAGAGAGACCAGAGAGAGACCAGAGAGAGACCAGAGAGAGAGACCAGAGAGAGACCAGAGAGAGACCAGAGAGAGACCAGAGAGAGAGACCAGAGAGAGACCAGAGAGAGACCAGAGAGAGACCAGAGAGAGAGACCAGAGAGACCAGAGAGAGACCAGAGAGAGAGACCAGAGAGACCAGAGAGAGACCAGAGAGAGACCAGAGAGAGACCAGAGAGAGACCAGAGAGAGAGACCAGAGAGAGACCAGAGAGAGAGACCAGAGAGAGACCAGAGAGAGAGACCAGAGAGAGAGACCAGAGAGAGACCAGAGAGAGACCAAAGAGAGACCAGAGAGAGACCAGAGAGAGAGACCAGAGAGAGAGACCAGAGAGAGACCAGAGAGACCAGAGAGACCAGAGAGACCAGAGAGAGAGACCAGAGAGAGAGAGACCAGAGAGACCAGAGAGAGACCAGAGAGAGACCAGAGAGAGAGAGACCAGAGAGAGACCAGAGAGAGCAAATATTTGTGCTGTAGCCTGGGTCTAGCCTAGCCGCGGTCTGCTGCTGTTTCTCCTTCGTTCGAGACACGGTCTCCACATTCAAGGTAAGGCTTAAAACAGTCCGTCTTTAGTTTACATATGGATATGGAATTAAGCGGCGCGGGGAAGGCTAGACATCTTGGACTGTCAGTCAAGCTGCGTAGGGAATAAGTCTGCTCGGGAAAAGTATGGTATTTTATCACTATCCTCTCCTCCTTCCTAACTTTAAACAATCTGCATTATTATGATTGCGTTCTGTGGCTTTACAGTAGGTCCCACTTCGTTTTTGTCGCCTTTCACGCGTGAATCATCACGAGACTCACGTGTGATTCAGCGTCTTTTATTTATTTTTCCCCCAGTGATGCTGCAATACCACAAACCACCAGGTTGCAATTGAGCAGGGTTAGGAAAATTGGCTTTCTCATCGGTCTTTGTTCTCTGTCACGCGGACAACTTTCTGTGGCTTAAATAGCTCAATGATAAAGAGGTGGACTCTGGTTGTGAGAGGACTCAGGTTCAAGTACAGTCTACGACCTTTTGATTTTGTTACGTTTAAATTTTTCTAAAACATACTTAAGTAATTAGGCCAACACATTAAAATAGTTGCTAGACTGTAGTAAACTGTTGTAAACTTCACAATCGCACCACCAAACTGCAAGGGAAAGAAATGCAACTTATAATTCAGTAACAAGTAAGCTGATTCATATACACCCCCCGCAACTAAAATTTTGAGGATTGCCGTGCTCGCACCCCTGAATCTTCCAAGCGAAAGACTTGGACCAATCCCACTACGCCACACAGGCGCTTGAGAAAACATTGGGATCTAATACTAAAGAGCGCTGAGTGAATGAGCCGAGCGTATTGCAGGACGCTTAAAATGCATATATTATGCAGGTTAATGTCAATGTTTGCCATAGATCAGCTTACTCCTGTGCATTTTAAATCTCCTAATTAATGGTAGCTATATGTAACATGTGTAGTTTAAATTTTTTGTATTGTCTAATCAATACAATATAGTATCTGATTAATCCGTGTACCTTCAATCATCAGTTAATCCGTTCAAATAAAATCAGAAAAACAAATTTTCCATCGTTTAATTGTTATTCTTTCTTTTCTAATCAAATTGGAAAATCAAATCCTTATATCCGAGTACAATCCGTGTACCCTTCAATAATTAGTTATTCCGTTTCAAAACAAAATCAGAAAAACAAATACGTGGTTGTATTTATTGTATTTTCCATGTTTCCAATAATTAAATTGGAAAATCAAAACATTCTAAATAAATAATCACCCATTTCTTTGCTATGCAGTGGAAACAAACACTACTAAAACAACTTCCATTTTTGTTTGATATGCTACCGGATAATTGATGAGTGGTGAGAGACTGAAACACGTTGCAAGCTGCACTCACTCAAACTCACTACACGACACCAACTCGCGCTGTTGTTGAGCTCCGCCCAGGCCCGAGCTCCATGGGCAAAATTCTTACAGCACCTGGTATTCCCCCAGTGCGGTCTCCAGTCCAAGTACTATGGGGAAAACCTTGTGGCGCTGCTCTTAAACAGAGAAAGCCCGGGCCCATTCCCCCCCTCCATTCATTCTGTTCACATACCACTCGGTAAGTTCCACCTCTGATAAACCACAATGGTTTTTGTGGTCGTTCTATAGTTTCACTCATAAATCTCTCATAATGTGCGTAGATCGTTCACCACACGTCCTGTAGTTTAAATCTCGAGTGTGTTATGGCGCTTTTATGATTGTTTACCTCCGTGTCATATGTTATTTGCTGCTGCCGTAGATCCTTCTCTGTTTGATCAATATTGTAGAAGAAAACACTTTCACTGCGTTGTACAAACAATTCTGTATTCACTGTATTCTACTGTATACAGTAATTCAAGTTTTGTTTTAAGTCTGGGTTGTAGTAGTTTTCCAGCGCGAGCTAATTATATTAGCTAATTATTGTTGATGTGTTACTATCTATATGTATTTCACATTTCATAGTTCAGCAACACTTGAGTTGAAAATGAATTATATGCAGTTAGTTTACGACAATGTATTAGTGTTTTTACCAGTTCAGGATATTCCTTCTATAACTGTACTTACTGTACTCCCATAGCCCTCATGCGTGCAAAAGTCCAATGTAAACATACAACTGTATAAGTCTTCTCTAGACTTACTACAGGATTCTGCTTCTTATATGCAAATGTAATATTTTATTCTGTATTATGCTAAAGAAATATACATTATACATACTTCTCTATATGCTGATAGCCTAGAAATTTTATGATCTTTTTTTTGTTGTTTGCAGACAATATGAATCAATCAATCAATCAAAGTTTATTTGTAGAGCTCCTTTTCATGCACAGGGCAACACAAAGCGCTTCACAGTCAACATCACAAATCACACATAAAACAAACCACCATAACACAATTGAAAACAATAAAATCACACAAAAGATTAAAACACAATAAAAACAATAAAATCACACAAAAGAATAAACCATTAACACTTTCAAAGTACACAAGAAAATTAAAAAAAAAAGATAAATAAATGACAGCAGTGCATTAACAAATGGAGATAAAATCCTTCAGTGTATTCACAGGCAAACAGAACAGTCTTTAACCTGGATTTGAACCATTGACAGAGTGAGACGCCTCCCTCACATATATTTCAGTGGAGATTGTCCAGATCTTAGCTGCATAGATCTGAACGCAGCCTCCCCATGTTTTGTTCACACTCTGGGCACCATCAGAGGCCAGTCCCCTGTGCACCTCAGAGTCCGGGCTGGTCATATACACCAACAGTCACTAAATGTATTCTGGTGCAAGCCATGGAGAGACTTGTAACAAGCAGAGCTGTATTAAAATCTATTCTAGTGAGCCACAGGCGAGCCAGTGGCAGAGAACCTGAGGACCGACTTAAATGGTCATACTTCCTGGATTCTGTCAGGACTCTAGCTGCCCCCCCCCTGCATTTTGGATGTACTGCCAGACTGCTTACAGGTCCTGTTGACAGACCTGTAACAGGCCATTGCAGTAGTCTAGCCTGCTGGAGACAAATGCGTGGACACGATCTCCAAGTCTCCTGGACACTATATTTCTGACTTTGGCAATGTTCTTCAGATGGTAAAAAGCAGTTGATGTTATTGATTTATGTGGCTATTGAAATTTAGGTCTGAGTCCATATTTACCCCCAAATTTTCTGACCTTGTCTGAAGGAAGAGGGAGAGAGACTGAAGTTGGACAGATGACGCCCTCTCTTTGTTTCTGGGGACCAAAGACAATGATTCGGTTTTGTCTGCATTTAGCTGGAGGAAATTTATTTGCATCCCCTCACTGAACTGTTGGATACAGGAAGGAGCAAATCCGTGTCCATGTTCCTCCTGCAGTCAGTGAACATAGATCTGGAGTGTCAGTCGGCGTAGATTGGTGGTAGGACACTTTTGTTTCTTTGAATTACTGACCTAACGGCAGCATGTAGAGATTAAATAGGAGAGGTCCCAGGATCGACCCCTGTGGTAGCTCCACAGTCAGGGCAACAATGATCTGAGACCAGACTCCAATCCCACAAATTAGGCTTCCTATCCTCAGGTAAGAAGCCTAAACCAGTCTAGGCTGGCCAGTGACACAACCCAGTCCTCAGTCTCTGCATAGGATCTCATGGTCGACAGTGTCTAACGAACGCGGCACTAAGATCTAACATGACCAAAACTGTGACTTTCCCTGCATCAGTGAGAAGTCGAATGCGTTTGTTACCTATCACTAGACGGTCTCAGTGCTGTGGTGGGGTCTAAACCCAGACTGGAACATATCAAAAGGAATTATTCATTGTTAAAAATTCAGTAAGTTTGTTTGGATGCACTTTTTTTTTTTTATTTATTCAAGAATTTCCAATGAATGGCAGATTCGATATGGGCGATTAATTTGAAGTCCCGCAGGATCCAGACTGCCTTTTTAAGGAGAGGTCTTATGACTGCTGCTTTAGGGCCATAAAGGAAATGTTCCTGACACAGAGACATGTTTACTCTTTGTGTCAGTGAAAGGTAACAAACTGCTCAGGACGGACTTCAGAAATATAGAGGGCCATATAATCCAGGCTAATTTGGAGGAGCTCAGAACTCATTAATATCTTTGACATTCAGTATCCACAGGTGCAAAGTAGTTACTCAAAAAGCTTCTCTGCTGTTGCATTGTTATACGTGCTGGTGGAGGTGAAGTGATTTGATTCCTTGTACTTTGTCAACGAAAAACTGTGCCTAACTCATTACACCAAGATTTAGAGGAAAAATTCTAGGGGCAAACTTTACAGGGGGGTTCTTAATCTACCACTGTTGAAAAACATAACACGAAAATTGTTACTACGCAACCTCCAATAAAATGTTCAGAAAAATACATTTCCTTGTTCTTCGTAGAACCCGTTAAATTCACCCAACTCAACTTTAAGATTTCAGACTCGCCTGAAAGTTGGACTTTTCGCCACTTCCGTTCGCCCTCCGGGCACTCTTGCTTCTGTGCCCTGACCAGAGTCTGCCTTAGTCCCATGGGCCATTTCTTACTGGTAACTATTTAAACCGTCACAGGAGCACTGGGCGTCCAGAACATTTCAGAAACACTGGTGGTGACAGAGTTAATAACAATTCATCAACAGTAAGAGCATGAGTTTTCCTCAAAATTTAGCATTCCATGAACAGCTTCACCTTGTTTTCATGTATGTGTCTTCTCTAGCATTGTAAATTCAGCTGGTGGTTTGCTAGCAAAACACATGTCAAAAAATACACAGAAATGATCTGACAAAGCAACATCAACGACATTTAACATTTGATACATTAACCCCCTTTGTAATTAGCAGTCAAGAGAGAGCCCCCTGCTGTGGGTGGGCCCACTCATGTGTCTTGAATGAAACGCAAAGGTCTCAATTACAAAGCCAGCTCCTTTGCATTATCTGTCATCAACATAATCAACATGTAACATTAAAATCACCTTTAATAACTAAACTATCAAAATCAGTGCACACAATGAAAGTAGTTCAGTAAAATTGGCAATAAAATCGCAACATGAACTGTGGTGGCCTGTACAGGAATATAAGAAGACAATTGTTTTATTTTTCATTTCTTTCCTGGCCGCGACCCTGTGAATTTATCGACAAGGGGCCCACGTGGATTCCTGCTGCAAAGGACCTTCGGAGTCGAGGAAGATCAGGGACGACCCGTCCATGAGGTGAGTGCGTGCTGCCACAGAGGAGGAGTGATGAGGTAGAAACGCCTCACTCTGGTGCGAGTGAGAGGAGGTGATGCCTCAGACAAGGCCGAAGTGCCAGTGGGAATACCATCGCTCACAGCAGCAGTAAGCCTGCACAGTGCCTGTTGTCACCAGGCCCCCAGCAGCAGTGAACCCCCCTCCTCCTGCCAGACATCATGTCAACCCTGTCTGAGGAGCCATAGAGAAAGGTTGTTCAGCGGATCTTGGAAAAGCAGCAGCAGCCTCCACAAATAAACCCCAACAAAGAAATGCCTGTCATGTGGCCAGCCAAAATCCCAATAATGAGGGCGATGGCAGCTCCATCCACGAGTTTTACAGCCGGGTCCTACCCAGGTATTTCTACTGCTCCACCAAGTCTATAACACCTATCGCACAGAGGTTTGACCCACTCCAGGATGCCATTCCAGACTTTATGGACACTGAGTTCTGCCAGAGAGAGTGGAGGCCACGCAAGCAGAGAGTGAATGAGCGGCAGGAGAAGAAAAGGAGAGTGATAGTCGCTCCTCCACTGGAGAAAGTGCGGTTCTGTCAAACTGAAACATCTGAAGCGAGGACCAGTTCCTCACAATTCATACACCATTCCCCCTGGTCTGACAGGAAAATACATCTACTCCCTGCCAAAGTATCTCCCAGTACAAGGACCAGGGGATGGAGACTCAGATGTTCCAGCAGTCTCCTTTTTATGACCGGAGAGAGTGAAAGGTGGCGTGAAATAACTGACTCTCTGCTGTCAATTGGTGCTATTGTATATAGTTTATACTATATTATACCTGTCCAGGTTTCCATAAATGTTTATAAATATTTTAATTATTAATTAAATATATACTTAATCATTGATTATATCAAATTATATAATGACATATCGTAAGCTGCATCAACAGTTCTGTAATAGTCCCTCTCAGCCGTCCAGTACAAGGCTCACACACAAATACTAGTTTACAAGAAGATAAAAGATAGCATGTTGTTGTTTTTCCTTCTAATGGTTATTTCTTAAATTTGTAAATATCTCTTTTTCACTGATCACAATAAATATATTATAAATGTCATACCATATTGAAGTCTTTTCTTTTTATTGATCATATTTCAGGGCAAACAACAGTAGAATTTAACAAAACAATCTGTATAGAAAATAGAGTTTCAGTTCAGGTGCCATCAACAATATGCCCACTATACGCGGCTGGCCCCCTCGCCTCGACCTTGCCTAGCTTCCCGAGATCAGACGAGATCGGCATTCTCAAGGTGTATGGCCGTAAGCACGGTATGGAGCAAGCGTGCCTCCCTGACCCTGCTTGCTGCGGTCCTCCTCCTCCCCCAGAAATGAGCGCTCAGGCCTGTTACAAAATCCGGGTCTAAGTGTGCTGACACTATCATGCTGCAACTGACTGAAAGGATTGTGCAGCAATTGAGCAAAGTTTTGCACCCCTCAACCCTGATTAGCATTTGTAGAGCTCACAGCATTCCATTTACATGTTAAAGCCTCCTGTGGAGGAGGGAGGAGGGGACAAACAAACTACCGTCAACAGCCCGAATCCCAGAAGTTCAACTGTAATATACAGGGCAGAAAGCTTAATCATGTGAGAGGGGGTTCACAACTTGCTCACTGCTGCACAACTCCTTTCAGTCAGTCGCAGCACCTGAACAGGTCCTGCACACTGTAGACCCGGAATTGAAAGGCCTGAGCGCTCATTCTGGGAGAGAGGACCGCGCAGCAGCAGGTCAGGAGGCACGCTGCTCCATACCCCCGGCTTACGGCCATACCACCTTGAAAATGCCCATCTCGTCTGATCTCGGAAGCTAGGCAAGGTCGGGCCGCTGGGCCAGCCAGCGTATAGTGGGAGCATATTGTTGAATTCTGGCACTGAACTGAAACTCTATTTTCTATACGATGTTTGTCAAATACTACTGTTGTTTGCCCTAATATGATCAATAAAAAGAAAAGCACTTCAATAATGTATGACATTATAATATCTTTATTGGAACAGATGAAAAAAGAGATATTTACAAATTAAGAAATACACTTAGAATGAAAAACAACACCATCTATCTTATCTTACTAAACTAGATATTTTTGTGATGACCTTGATGACTGTGACGGCTGAGATCTGACTATACAGAACTTATAATGCCGCTTTACAAATGAAATTATTATAATTAGATATAATCAATATTAAGTATAAATTTACATAAAAAATTAAAAATATTATAAACATTATATGAAAAAAAAAACCCAGTACAGTTATAAAATCGTAACTATAAACAATAGCACCAATAGACATCATGATAGCACATTTATTTACAACGCCACTTCCCTCTCCCGGTCATAAAAGGAACTGCTGAACATCTGCGTCCTCATCCCTGGTCCTTGTACAGGAGAATACTTGGCAGGGCAGTAGATGTATTTCCTGACAGACCAGGAATTGGGTATGAATGTGAGAACTGGTCACCCTGCTTCCGCTGCAGTTTGCAGAACCAGCACTTTCTCCCAGTGGAGGATGAGACTCATCACTCTTACTTCCTTTCTCTCTCTCCGCGCTCATTAAATCACTCTCTGCTGCGTGGGCCGCCAGCGCGCTCTGGCAGAACTCAAGTGTCCATTAAAGTCTCGGAATGGCATCCTGGAGTTGTCAAACCCACTGTGCGATAGTGTTTATAGACCTTGGTGGAGCAGTAGAAATACCTGGTAGGACCCGGCTGGTAAAACTCGAGATGGAGCTGCCATCGCCTCCTATTTGATTTTGGCTGCCAACGAAACAGGCATTTCTTTGTGTGGGGTTTATTTGCTGGAGGCTGCTGCTGCTTTCCAAGATCCGCCTGCACAACCATCTCGATGCCTCCTCAGACAGCGGTGACATGAGTCTGAGCAGGAGGAGGGGGGTTCACCTGCTGCAGGGGGATGGTGACAACAGGCACTGTGCAGGTCTTACTGCCTGCTGTGAGCGAGTATTCCCCTCAGCACTTCAGGCCCTTGTCTTAGGCATCACCCCTCTCACACGCACCAGAGTGAGAGGGCGTTCTCCCACATACAATCACCTCACCTGTCCCTCTGAGGAAGCACCGCATCTCCCTCATGACCGGTCGACCCTGACATCCGCCTCCTCCGAAGGGTTCCTGCTGCAAGCAGGAATCAACGTGGCCCTTGTGAAAAATCACAGTGACGCGGCCAGGAAAGAATGAAAATGGTCTTCAATATTCCTGTACAGGCACCAACAAGTCATGTA